CATGGATGTGAGAGAAAGACATGGATTGATTGCCTCCTGCACACGCCTGGACCAGGGCCCAGACTGGGGAGGAGCCTGCAACCGAGGTACGTGCCCTTGACCAAATTCGAACCCGGGACCCTTCGGTCCGCACGCCGACGCTCTATCCACTGAGCCACACTGGCTAGGGTGTCCTCTGAAGGTGTCTCATGAGAAATGAACACTGATTAGGATTGAATGAAGGACTGAGGCTGAAGGTGCAGGCCTGGGCTAGCGATGTGTGAGTTGACAAGTGGTTGTCGAATGAACTGGAAATCCATGACACATCGCAAGAGTGGGGCACAAGGCTTGGACCTTTAGAGGAAACGGAACTTTAGAGGAAATGGAGCTTTAGAGGAAATGGAGCTTTAGAGGAAATGGAGCTTTAGAGGAAATGGAACTTTAGAGGAAATGGAGCTTTAGAGGAAATAGAACTAAGGAGAAGCAGACTAGCAGCATCCAGAAAGGGGTGAGATGCAGGGTCGTGGAAAGTTGTCTGTTCCCCGGGAGGAGAGAAGTAGAAGCACAGTGCAGTGGACTCTAAAGCCTTGTTGAATCACCCTTTCAGTTGTCATTTAACTCTTTCCAAAGAGCCAAAGAGCAAAGTTTACAGATAAAGGTCGCTCGGACCCCTCGCTGCTCCCTCCGAAGCCGACAGGGGTGGGCCATTACCCAGCCACGGTGATGGTTCCTTCCTCCAGGTTGCATGTTAACAGCCGGTGGCCAAAGTACACCTTGGTGTTGGGGTATTTCTCCACCGCTGTGGGGACAGGGGAGAAAGCAGACAGGAGTTAAGTTCTCATTCTGACTCACTTCATCCAAGTGAAATAGGGATCATCCTGACCACCGCATGATAGAGGAATTTATTCCTGTCCACGGCAACATGATTGAAGTGGCATTTTATTGGGTAAAAGTTCCAGGGTAATTTGATAGTAAAAGACATGAATAAAAATCAACCACTCTCATCTCAAAAAGAAAAGAAAAGATCCAACTAACTCCATTATGCAAATTCTCACATTGCTAAGATTATCGGCAGCCTGGAAAGGAAATAATCATTACATATTTTAAAAGTTGCCAGTTACTGAAGGCTTTATTTGTGATGGAAAATACTCAGCCAAATTCTTTCTCATAAGATGCCTGCTGTAAGCCCTCTAGACTTCTAATTCAAGTTGTAACAAGTGTTGATTGTTGATACTAATGCTTCTTATAATCACACACTGAAACCCTTGGGGGAAAAAGAATTAAAATATTTGAGATGTTTCAATAAATAGAGTCAGGTTATTTTAGTGCTGTGTTTTTTTTCTCCTGCTAGTCATTTCTGGAATTTAGCCATTTTCATTTTCTGAACTATTAATTATGTTCTTGTCATAGTAGTAAAATATGTTTTTTATCCTTATGAGTTCTCAAGGATAGGAAAGCTGTCATTACAGGCTATTGGTTGGTTTTCAAGCTACCAATCAGGATGTGGGGATTAGTTCACAACCATTCGCCTTATAAATGGAGTAAGGATGATGCTGGCAGATGCCTGCGACCACAGGAAGCAAAATGCCAGGGAACCGATGCCAGAGCTTCTGACTTTCAACTCAGTATTCCCGCCTCTACTTCCTTCCTTTTTGTCTCAAATTTTGGGTTCTTTTGTCCCATTTTTAAATTGTATTTTTATTGATTTCAGAGAGGAAGGGAGAGGGAGAGAGAGAGAGAAACATCAATGATGAGAGAGAATCATGGATCAGCTGCCTCCTGCACGCCCCACACTGGGGATCGAGCCCACAACTCGGGCATGCGCCCTGACCTGGAATGGAACTGTGACCTCCTGGTTCACAGGTCGATGCTCAACCACTGAACCACACCGGCCGGGCCCTTTTGTTCCATTTTTGAGTTTGATTTGGCATGTGAAGACTTAAAGATTCTTGAACGTGGGATTGGACGTTTTAGAATATTGAAGTCTGAGCGACTTTAAACCAAAGACTGATTTACATATAAGAAATCTCTTGGCAAATAAATTTGGAGAAATCAGCATTTACCTGAGTCACTACGGCTAACTTTTACTGGTGTTCTGTTTTTTTTTTATTACAAAATCTGCATTATTAATCGGTATACCTAGTATATTTTATTGACTTCAGAGAGGAAGGGAGAGAAGAGAGGGATAGGAACATCAATGATGAGAGAGAACATTGTTCAAGTCACCTGTTTCTTTTTAGGTTTTTAATAGGGTTAACACAACATTCACAATGACACGTGTGACTGGCACTTGCGGCGACATCTGGGACAGCACTGCCCTAGAGGATCTGCAGTGTAGACTCGTAGAATAAAGGCCCTGAGAAGTACTGCAAGATTACCAGAAAGACTTAAAACTTGCTTGGGGCAGGACTCAGCAAACTCCCTTGGCCCTGTGTCCTTTTCCTGTTGGTCTGGCTTAGCCGTGACTAACGCCCCACGGATGAGTGAATCATGACAGAGTCACTCACAAGACACTGATGCAGGAAAATGCTGGGTCTTCCCTGCCTGTGTTAGTGCCTCGGTGTTAGCAGAAGTTTCATATATAACATGGGAGGCGGCGACAGTTGCAGTCAAAAGCATGGACTTTGGAATAAACAGACTCCAGTTCAAATCCACATTCTGCCACTTATTAACAGTGTTACCTGTTGCCCCGTGGGGCCCTCGAAGCCTCCTGCCCCATCTGTACAGCTGAGATGGAGGTAATTCCCCCCTCACCCGGTTGTGGGGAGGGCTATACAAATCGCAGCATAGAAAGCACTTACTATACTGCCTGGTGCCTCGATGCATGGTTGCTATGATTTTCACCTTAATAAATTCAGAGGGTACTAGAAAGGGATGGTCTTAGGTTGCCAATACTACGTTTTCAAAAGCTCATGTTGAAAATTACACCTTCTTAAGGTCTGCAGGCCAGGCCGACGCTCTATTCACTGAGCCAAACCGGTCAGGGCTAAAAATTACACCTTCTTAAGATCAACATGAATTTATCTAGCCACCTAGCCCCACCCTGCCCTTCTGCCCATCCAAAAGACAATCTTACATATGTATGCAAAGAAACTGAATTAAGAATACTCAGCCCTGACTCAGTGATTGAGCATCGACCTCTGAACCAGGAGGTCACGGTTGGATTCCAGGTCAGGGCACAGGCCCAGGTTGTGGGCTCGATCCCCAGGGTAGGGCGTGCAGGAGGCAGCCAATCCATGATTCTCTTTCATCACTGATGTTTCTCTCTCTCTCTCTCTCCCTTTCTGAGATTAAAAAAAAAAAAAATACTACGCTCTATTTGTTTGTTTGTTTGTTTCTCATTTTTCTAAGCCTTATTTGTTAAGTCCCTGGTGAATTAACTGGAAGGACTTTCTCCATCACTCCTCCTCCCGGTTTAATTCAATTCCATGCAAAAGGCACATTGCAAATGGCTTTGGGTAGGGAACTGTGGGAGAAACACAGATATATCACAGGCAACCGCTGCTCTCCAAAGAACAGAGACTGCTGGTCTGCATCCAGACGGACGGACGGACGCAGCAGACAGGAGGCGAACTGCAGGGGACGAATGCTGGAGGACAGAGAACTACTGTGGTCAAGGCATGTGGTCGGATTGGTTAGCCCAGCTGCAGATTCAGTGACCCACCCAGGCTTTTCCCCATTAATGTGTGGGCCTCCTTAGTTACTCAGATTAGAAACCTCGGGGTTACATTTTCCTCCTTCCTCTTTCTCAACCTCCCACGCCCTCTATCTCTGGGTCTCCTACAAATACCTTGAATCTGCTCCCTGCCTTCCGACCCTGTTGCTGTAGCTTTTAGTCCAGGGCCTCATTTTTGCACACAAGCATCATCCCAAATCTCTGAAGCTTGCCCCCTCCATTAGCCTCCACACTGCTGCTTTTTTTAAAATATATATTTTTATTGATTTCAGACAGGAAGGGAGAGGGAGAGAGACATAGAAACATCAATGATGAGAGAGAATCATCGATCGGCTGCCCGCTGCACGCCCCCGACTGGGGATCGAGCCCACAATCCAGGCATGTGCCCTTGACCAGAATTAAACCCGTGACCTTCCAGTCCACAGGCTGACGCTCTATCCACTGAGCCAAACCAGCTAGGGCCACACTACTGCTTTCTGTTTTTCTGAAATGCAGATCTAACTGTGTCACTTTGCAAATCATTCCAGCATATCTGTTGTTCCACTAGACTGTGCATTATTCATCGGGGATCACACTCACTCATTCCAGTGCCCATAAGACAATAGGAATTCAACACGCGTTGAAAAAATAATCTGTATTTAAGACGACTGAAAAGGTGAAAGAGAGATGCTTCACTACTACGTTTCAAGAAGGGCCTGGTATTGCCCATAGTCCTGCTGTTAATAACTCACAAAAATAAACGGTAAACAAGTCCCAATAAACCATGTGACAAGATTAGTCTCATGTGCTATATTCAAAATGACAACTGGAAAATAAAGCTTTGGACTTACCAGTTAACAGATCCTTGTTTAGATTTGTTCTGCTTATAGAAAGAATATACTGCAAGAAAAATAAGAGTAGAAGCTGTTTGTCTCTGGAGAATGGGCACATGTAATTCTATGTTACTCACTCAGAAATAGGACAAACTTATCATTTATCGGAAAGTTGCAAGCTCCATTTTAAGACCATGGAGCTAAGTAGCCTTTCTTGAGAAAACCATAAGCACTTTAACCAAATATATATAATACGACGCTTACGTTTAAATTTAGGCTTTTGCAAAGTTTGATGCTATAAAAACCAAACCCGTCTCTTGTAGGAAAATATTTTTACTAAAATAACTTTAACAACAAATCACAAATTTCATGCGTTTATCTGAGGTCTCCAAATTGAGCTATTTAGAAAAGCTTACAAAGACAACACCACAAGAATAAATGTACTATTTCCCAAAGAGGTTACTCTGAAGGCCTTCATTTCAATGTGAAATGTGTGTGTGTGGGGCGGTGGGGGGAGGGGGGGGATGAGGGGGTGTCTGTGGCCAGAAGGGAGTTGGTAGGAGTGGATCACCTGCCTGGGGCACATGTTGGTTATTTGTGACTTTGTAGGACATTTCAGTGGGACTGGCTGTTTTGTGAGATATGGCAGGCACAGTATGCGTCGGCCCACCATACTTTTAGGGGTACATGAAATGACTTAATTTTATTTATTATTTTAAATATATTTTTATTGATTTCAGAGAAGAATGGGATAGGGACAGAGAGATAGAAACATCAATGGTGAGAATCCTGGGGATCAAGCCTGTAACCCAAGCACGTGCCCTTGACCGGAATCGAACCTGGGACCCTTCAGTTTGCAGGCCGATGCTCTACCCACTGAGTTAAACCAGCTAGGGCAAAATCCTTTTCTTTTTATCAAAGTTCATGAAAGGATGAAATTGAACTATTACAGCTTGGGAGATACCACAGGATTCACTCCCAAGACTGTGCTTATGTGAGAACACATTCCTGGCACTCATCAATCATTCAGCAGTATTTTCATTCCAG